AAGGTTATTTCAGGATCACAATTGTGACGATTGACATTATTCTGTGATGCATTGATCTGCACCAGCGTCACCATTATCACAGACAGATGTGCTGCTGCTGCTGATGGAAGAAAGCTTTTACTGAAACACACATCTTACACATCAGTGACTAGTTGTGTGTCTACAGAGTGAGATTGTGTGTTCTGTTTTTCTCAGTGTTAATGTCTTATGTGTGATGTAGCTGCAGAATGTAGGTCTGTTAGGTTGAAAGCCATTGCAGGAAATGTATTATTCATACATCAGCAACAACCTTGACAGGGTCTGTGTTGGCTCTGTGGTTGCTCTGGAGACCACATTGTCATTTACTTATCTTAGAGATTGTAGAGCATAGTCATGTAGAAGTTGATGGACAGTTTTTCATAAGTTCTGCTGAACAAATGACAATCTGAGACTGGTCTTTAAAAGTAGCTTTGATCCTGGACTTTGTTTGTAGATGCTATAAAGATGGAAACATCTTTGATATCCTGGTGTGTTTCAATGCTTTGCCAAACTCGGTGAAAATAAACAGACGCTCTAAGAGCCTGGATCATTTATCTAATGTGCTAAAACAACTAAAAATACTTTTTAACAAGATATGAAGAGTGGATCAAAGGCTTGAGTTAACAGCAAGACTGAGATGCCAAAAGGGAAGTGAGATTCCTTTGTTTAGTTACATTTGGCTGATTCTTCTACCAGATATGAATCCTTTGTTGCTGGAAAAGACTGATGAGAGACCACATCAACTTAGATCCCTAAAACAAGGAACAACTTAATCTAAGCTCACAAGGACAATGGGAGAAAGCAACTGCCTGTGTCCAGGGATGTATGGACGGATCCAGGGGGTGGCGAGTGGTGGCGCGCCTATATACTGTATGTGTATATACATACAAACTTTTTTTATTTGTACAGGTATCTACAAAATGAAGGAACATACATTTTGAGTTTTCTATACATCTCAAAAGCCTGATTTTTGTGTGCTGAGGATTTTTTTTTTAAATTTATTAGTATTTTTTTTTATATTATGGAAACTGGTGTTTACAGGCAGGTCAACTTACTGCAGAGAGATCTCATCAGTAGCAACATAAAGAAATGCTAAGATGAAGTCATACCGTGTTTTCCAGAGGTGTGAAATATTTGTGTTGAAACGCTTGCAGTGTGGCTGTTTTTACTACACATTGCTGCCTAATTACTGTAGTCTAACAGTTCTTTCATTTAATTAAATGATATGACTTTAGGCATCGACTAATCTGTTTTGAGACTTAGCAATGATGAATCCTCTGAGGTTCTGGTCATGTGGTCTTCTCTTAATCATTAATAGCAAACCTATATCTACATCTTGGAGAACATTACTGACTTGCTGTGCAGTCAAATAGGGGTTTTTCTTTACCATGCAAATGATTTATCCACTTGTTTGCAAGACTTGCACTCCTTAAGACAGGATCCTGGTTGTTTTTCACTTGCTAGTTTTCCTGTGTGCATCTGCTGTTCATTTTGACAAAATGATTTTTTTTCAGCCTTAATATATTTTTCACTTGCATGCTCATTCTTTATTCCTCATATGAACAGACAACTGCTCCTCAATCTAAATGGCAACTTTCAATACAGTCTAAACATGAGCTCTTTTGTGCATGAACTAATGAAATGGCACATGGCTGTCCAAAAAAACATTAGTTTTTAGTATATCTGATATGTTTGTCCTAGATGGATGGATAGACACCGTTTTAGTGTCTGTTATTACCAGTGAACTAGGAGTGCCATCTTCAGCCTGCTCCAAACTACTGCAGTTATGTTTAACCTTAAAATAAGTCTTATTATTCAGATTTTAACATGCCTGAGTACCCTTTCCATTGTGATTTGAAAATATCAGACAACAAAGACAAGTCATCTGCCACATTATAAATGCTCTTGGATGTGCTGGCAACCCCACTATCACTGCAGGTACTTTTAATCTATGTGTACATGCAGTAAATGTTGAAGATGGATGAATTACATACAGAACTCAAGTGCTGGTATATTGCACGTATTTATTTATTGCCCAGGTACCTTTGAACGGTTAGTTAACAGAGACAGGTCCAGGGTCCTGAATGTGCCGACTGGCTTTCTGGTTGATGGCAGTTTTAAGTTGTACATATTTACATAGACAAGGTGGAATAGTGACAGATATTGAACAGGATCAACTTTGGAAGAAATGGAAAAAAAAAAAAAGTATTTAAAGTTAGTCCCTGGTATTTATGTCCCCACATCTGTCTGAACATTTCACGGTAGATGACATTAGCTTGGAAATAAAGGCACTGTTTATTACAAATGTTTCATTGATCTTCAGTATGGTTAATTCTTACTTTTCGGGCTTTCACAGTAACAGTCAGCTGATTTAATACCTCTATTTCAAAACAAATAAAGACAAGATAAAAATGTTATGTTTAATTTAATAAAGCATCAATGAAGGCAAATGCACTAAATATATTAAACTGATTTAAAGTAGGAAGCTAAAAAATGGCAACATCAAAACAGCAAAAAAAAAAAAAAAAAAAAATTTACACTGGGTTTCTATGCACCAACAACTACAGTAGGATCAACAATCTGGATTCAAGGTCCACTCATCTTTCTGCCTATTATTCGATAATAAAAAACCGGAGGGGTGTATTATAGCAAATTCCTCGCTACTCCAGCACAGTGACAGACTACAGAGAAAAAAACAACATGGTGATCTTGATTCTAAATGTCATGTAACCTTCCCAGTAATTGCCCTTACTTTGTTTTATTTTGTGGGCTGTTACACTGCAAATTTATTGCCATCAGAGTAAACGGCTAATTTAAATTGGGTCACATTCTCTACTGTATTGCAGTACTAACAAGATCTGAATGTCCTGTTAGCTTCGTGACATGTTTCATCCACACTAGTGATGTTAATATTCATATCAAGATGCATCAGAACACTGCAATGTTTTGTCTGATGCAAAATATTCTGGCCTTTCGTGCAAGACTTTGTGTTTAAACATTCAAAAAACACAACAATGATACTAAATAAAAATGAAGGCATATTTGTGAAAGGGTAATTTAAGACTGATCATTTGCACTAAATGCATTCCTGTTTTTTTTATACTGTAGATGTCACAGACTAAGACAGAGAAGGCTACAGATTAGAAATCAGCTTAGTGCAGTCCCCCTAATTAACTGATCAATCAACTAAGCAGTGGTTGAACAGTTTAAGATGGTAGGTCTTGGGGAATAATGGAAATTAATACATGCACATATAAACTGACAGACTAAGTAGCTGGAAAAAAGTTGCTAATTAATAATTGCAACTTTTTAGTGTTTGCTGTTCCTCATCAGCTCCCACTGATAAAGTTTATGTGCTTACAGAACTTCAGAGAAATTTAAATATACTGGACCATCCTGTACACAGGCTGAACTGGTGGCCTTAAAGTTAGAGAACCAAACAGGTGAATGCAAGGTTGTCAGTTCTATTCCTGGTCCTGGCAGGGGAGAGGTGAAAAAGCAGTGCCTACCTCACCCTCATCATCACCAGTGTAGTATCCTTGAGCAAGGCCCTTAACCCCAAACTGCTCCTGTAAAACTGGTTGTATTTCTGAAAAAAAGAGAATTGGCCCCTCAGACTACTTTATGTACATTTAAATGGGCCGTAATGTGAAGTACAGTGCACAAATGTGTCAACTTTTGTTAGCATTCAGATGACGTTTACTGGCCTTTGACGAACAGGTCCGAGGACCTGTCTGAAGTGCAAGTCTACATGTGGAAAAGCTGCTTTTTGTTTAATGAACAGCACTAATCTGTAATGCTGAAGGTCATATTTGACTTTAGAAACTGAGAATATTTAATAACTGGCATCCTCAGAATCTTATGTTTCACATTTGCGTTGCTGTTTTTCAAAAAGTCAAATTACTCACCCACAGAACCCCCCAAATCAGAAAAAGTTCGGATGGTATGTGAAATCAGAAATAAAAGTGATTTGTATATCATCTGTGTCCTGTATAACACTGGAAACAACACATCAACACATTATTTGATGTGATACCTCAACAATTTTATTCTTTGTTCAAAATAAACCTTCAAGTTGGGACAGTAAAGCGTTTACCACAGTGTGATGCTGCCGTTCCTTTTCACAATGCTTAGATATTTAGACACTGAAGACACCAAGTGATTGTGTCAGGTGTAATTTTGTCCCATTCTTCCTGCAAACAAGTCTTAAGGTGTGCGACAGTCCTGGGGTTTTGTTGACACACGTATTCTCTATTGGGGACAGCCTAGGACCGCTGGCAGGCCAGTCCAGCACTCACATGCTTTACCTCTACAGCCAGGCCTTGGTAATGTGCACTATGAGGTTCTTGTTGAAATATGCATCAGTGTCCCTGGAAAAGATGTCATCTTGAAGGCAGCATATGTTGCTCCAAAATCTCTCTGTATTGTTCAGCATTAATAGAGCCATCACAGAAGTTTAAGTTAGCTTTGCCAAGGGCAGTGACACAACCCCAGACCATGACAGACCCTGGTTTTTGGACTTGTTGCTGGTAACAGTCTGGATGGTCCTTTTTGTCTTTGGTCTGGAGCACACGGTGTCCATTCCTTCCAAACAGACCTGAAACATTGATTTGTCTGACCACAGTACACATTTCCACTGTGTCTCTGAGCCCAGAGCAGTCGATGGTGGTTTTGGACACTGTTGACATAGATCCTCAGCTCATCTCTGCTCCTAAAGGGCTCGGCCTTTCCTGGATGCCACTTTTACCAAATCCTCATTGCAATCACCTGTTGACATCACCTGTTTCAAATGGAACCATCATTTCATTGTTTTACCTCAGTACCAGCCCTGAAATGCAGCCGTCCCAACTTTTTTTGGAATGTGTTGCAGGCATCAGAATTTAAATGTTTATTTTGAACAAAGAATAAAATTGATGAGGTATCACATCAGATAATATGCTGCTGTATTGCTTTCAGTGTAAAACAGGACACAGATGATTTACAAATCATTATTTTCAGTTTTAACCTTGATGTTACATCTTTTTCTGATTTGGGGTTGTATGACATTTGATTCGTGTTAAACTGATTCTATTCAATGGAAGTATATGCTAATGTGCACTGGACTGCATTATACTTAAAAATGTTGCAGTGTATGTTGCATATGGAATCATTTACAATGACCCAACGTTTTAAACTCAAACTATCGTAAATCTTTTCCTGCAGTGTCAAAAATGACCAAAAGCTTCTTAAATGTGCTACTTTAAAACATTGTATTGGTTTGCATCCGGCATTTCAGTTATTCCGGTCACTCATGTTTGGTGCATGTCGCAGCCTATACTGAGACAGCCAGAGGTAAACCCTATAATACAAAGTGCCACAAAATAAAGTACTGTTAAGTGAAGTAATAAAAACACAGATATTAGTCCAAACAACTGTTACACTGAATGTGGGGTGGAGGGGGGCAGCCCTATTTTGGGGGCACCACTTCTGCTTCAATAGGATTGAAAATGTGCATTTTAAATGCTTAAATAATTATAAAATTTTATCTTAACACAAACTGTACATATAAGGTATACAATACATTAAAAAGTGAAAATGTTACTTAGAAATGACACACTCTGATACATCATATCAAAAATATGCAGCTTTAGTAGCACTTTTGTTCTTCATGTATCTAGTAAAATTTGCAATGCTACATTACACACCTAAGAACTGAAGGAGGTCTTTATTTTTCTACTCCGACATCACTGCTGTGTCGCTACCGAGCTTCAAAAGTCACTCTCTTCAGTTCTCGTACTGTATCACGTTATTCTCCACTCCCCCCTCTCCATCCCAAAGCACCTCCTCCTCGTCACTCCTCTGTCCATCATATTCTGGCTTCTTGGCTCCTTCCTCTACAATGTGCGCTTCAATCAATTTTTTCGACTTTCCCAATTATCTTCTCCTCAAAGATGGGCAAGATAGCATCATCTTCACGTACCTCTTCAAACACCACCCCGCAGTCAAACTCGTCACTTACCTTTTTGAAATAATACCTGAAAAGGCAAAGAGTAAAATTAACCTTTCCAGATCGAACACTGTTACCTTCACTTTATTGACCTCACTTCACAATTTGCAGACAAGAATTAGGTTAGAGGTTTTCAAGACAAGAATTCTGCAGTCCCCTTGTTAGGCAAATGAGTGTTTAATCAGCAGATCATGCCATAATTATCACTCCTCTGTGGATCAGTGTTGCAAAACTGGCCTTTCAGAGCTGTGCATTCTGAAAGAACAACACTGACCCAAATTTGAGTGTGATTTTTGAATGTAAATTGGATGGGATGTATTCAAAACTAACATTCCTTCTCATTCCCGGACAACTAGATTATGCAACATTTTAGTCAAAGTTGTGTTACGGACTGTACCATCTTGATGCTTATAATGAAGATATTTTGCTGTGATACATCTTGAAATATACGTACAGAGAAATCAAATGGCACCACAAATATCACCTGTAATTTCCTTTCTTTGTTAGTAGTTCTTTGAACTGGCCCAGAGTGACAACCCTCCCTTTGACAGATGTCCTGTATGGTATCTGCTCCTCACAGAAGTAGTATGCCACAGTAGTGTTTTCACATAGCTGCTTTTTAGTGGGTTTATGTCTGCAAAAAGAAAGGGCAGAAAACAACAATAAGGGCATTTCAAATTCTCCACACTTTTAACAGTACTATGTTTTTCACATATAAGGGGCCTCAAAAAGTCAAATTTAGAACTGGAACATGTTCATATTATAGATGGGTTTCCTAAGGGAGAATGACAATTACACACATTCATAAGCAACTGCTGTATATACAGTGGGGCAAAAAGTATTTAGTCAGCCACCAATTGTGCAAGTTCTCCCACTTAAAAAGATGAGAGAGGCCTGTAATTTACATCATAGGTATACTTCAACTATGAGAGACAGAATGAGAAAAACAGAATCAGAAAATCACATTGTCTGATTTTTAAAGAAT